ACTACTACTACTACTACTACTACTACTACTACTACTACTACTACTACTACTACTACTACTACTACTACTACTACTACTACTACTACTACTACTACTACTACTACTACTACTACTACTACTACTACTACTACTACTACTACTACTACTACTACTACTACTACTACTACTACTACTACTACTACTACTACTACTACTACTACTACTACCTACTACTACTACTACTACTACTACTACTACTACTACTACTACTACTACTACTACTACTACTACTACTGCTAGTGGTACGAGTACTAGTACTACGGCTACCACTTTTACCACTACTGCTGCTACTGCTGCTACTCCCATTATTTTTATCATTACTAGTATCCTACTACTCGTGGTCTGCGATCGATCCGGTCGCAATCGCTTTATGACAATTTAATCGGTGAGCTTCTAAAGTAACCCATTCGTTCCAGAAGCTTCTTTGGAGAGCTTCTGCTAATCGGAACACTTTGTAAGCGAACCCAAAACATTACAGCCACTTCGGCTCGATCGCAATTGGCTGGAATCCGCCCCCAGTGGTTGCGATCGGGCCGACGTGGTTGCGATCGGCCCCAGTCGCCCGACACACCATTCAGCACCCGCTGCACAGTGGCAGAGGTGTTTCGAATTGAGACCGCCATTGCACTTTAGGGGGCACGCCCGCAAGGTCGAGGCGGAGCCAACGATATAATTGACGTTTCGCGTCTCCCACCAGACCTTCGAGAAGCTTAACATGGTCGGTTTTTTGACCCAGGGAGTGCCTGACAATGCAGTGACATAAAAACATGGCAGCCATCAAGCCAAAGCTTGGGATCAGCTTGAGTATGCTTAGAAGTCACCATCATGGCCTGTGCGGATTTGTCGCCCTGGATTGATATCCAGCTGCCTGCGGCAAGCCCCGTCACCGCGCCTGTCCGACAGCGTCGCAGAATTGAGTTTGAATTTTTATTGTTTCACGTATCCCCACCCGCCCATCCAGGAACGATGCCCAGGGGAGCTGCCCTATTTGGGGGAGCATGGCATTGTGGAGAACTCGGGCGGCCTCCGTGGGCCAGAGGCTTCTTGGATGCCTCTCGGAGTCTTTTGGGACGTCTCTCGGAATCTTGGGGTGCCTTTGGGGGCGCCTTGGGGGCCATGTGGAGGCCACTTGGGACGTCTTGGGAACTTTTTGGCGGTCTTCAGAGCCCCTTGGGGGCGTACTGGGTGTCTCTTGGAGGCCTCTTGTGGTCTCTTGGAGGCTGCTTGGGGACCTCTTGGGAACCTTTCGAGGACCTCCTTGGGGCCTCTCTGCGGCCTCTTGGGGGCCTCGTGGAGGCCTCTTTGGCGCCCCTCGGGGGGGGGGGCTGTCCTGAGTCCCCTCCAAAGGCATGTATAGTCAGTGTAGATTGGGCGATGGCCCAACTTTGGCTCCAGAGGGAAGGGCGGTGTTCGGACAACGCGTGGTTCGACGGGTGGGGGGCGAGGGGTCGGCCTCGGAAAGCGTGATACCGAACACCAGGAAGAGCATCCTCCCTCTCCCTCAATCTTTGAACAGATTCTCGCCCCCACGGCCGCGGGCGGAGCCACCCTGGCAGCATTCCGAGGGTCGGCGGGAGCAGGTCTCGGGCGTGTCCTCTGCTCGCACCTGGATTGGCCTGCCCAGGGCGCTCCGCGCCCCCGGCAGCATCGGAGCTGGCGAAGACGGAAGCAGGGGGGAGGCCAGGGACGGGCCAGTGCTGGACCCAAAACGCTGTTTTGCTGGACTTGGGCTGTGTTTTGTTGTTCGTTTTGGCAGGGAGGTACAGGAAAGCAGGTCGAGCAGCACGAGAACCGAAACGACGACACAACGATAAACAACGTTTGGGACCAGCCCCGGGACGGTCGGACAAGTGAGGATCAGGCAGGGGCGAGGAGTGGTGGAGGTGACGATGGGGACGAGGGTTCGTGCGCGGAGAGGAAGCAGAAGGAGGAGGAACGGGAGGACGAGGAGGAAAGGGGCACGGACGGAGCTGATAACGCCGACGACGACGATCAATAGGATGAAGAATGCGGACGTCGATGGGGAAGCCGGCCAGGACGGGGCAGACGTGTGCGAGGATGTGAGCGGGGTGCCACCGAGGCCGGGAAGGTGATGCCGACAATGTGAGCAATGGTGATGTCGATACCGTTTCGGACGCCGACGAGGATGGGGAGGACGATGATTCGGATGAGGGCGAAGACGATGGGGATATTAGCGATGATAGTGATGACGCACCCCACGATGCACGGACAGTCAAAGGGACGCCGATGACGACGGTTGTGAAGAGAATGTGGCGACGTTCTAGAGAGATCTTACACACTTCTAGACAACACAGGGCATCGAACCTTCCAACTCTAGCAACCCTCCTCCTCCCTGCTTGCTTTGCTCCCCATCGCCCTCTCCACCCTCGCCACCGCTCTGCACCCACGCGTGGGCGCCCTTGCTTCCCGTGTCTTCTGACGACAGGGAAGCGGCTCCAGGCTCCGATACATAAAAATAGGCATCACTTGTTTTTTGGGAACATTCCAAATGGAGATTTAAGTGGCTTCTGCCTGCGCATACACCGCCGCATCTCGCACTCGGCCTGTTGCCTTTTGCAAGTCACGCGCCACCTGCTCAACTCATCTGCGCCGAAGGAGCCGAGTATGCTAGGCAGCGCCGCCTCAAGCGCCTCGGTGCCTTCGACGACTGTGGCAGGCTGAGGGAACTGCACCGACACTTCAGCCCTCTACGACTCCAACGCCGTGATCTCCTTCCAGGTGGACGCCTACACCTCCGTGATTCCCTGGTGCTGGGCCTGCAAATCGCGCATCTCGGTCTAGATGCCCTCCAAGGGCTCACGCTGCGCCTCCGCCTTGCGCTCGAGCCTCAGGATCTGCCGCGTGTTGCGCTGGATCTGGATCGGAAGCGGCTTCTAGCCCATCCCAGCCACACGCAGATGGGGGCAGGGGGGGCGGGGAAGGCTTAGTAGAAACACCCCTGCCTGTTAGAAGGCGCGGGCCTGATCTGCAGATGTCAGGCGGGCGCCTTCTAAAGCAGTCTCCTTCTAAGAAGCCTTCCCCCATCTGCCCCCCTCTGCGCGCCGCCTACCATCTGTTTTGCTCGTAGATCTGCCGGCTCAGCCGCATGTTGCTCACGCGGCCTCAGCACTCCGCCTGATGAGCCTGCCACATGCTCGAGTCCGTCGAGAGCCGCTGCAGGAGGAGGCGGAGGATCAGGAGGTGATGAGATGAGAAAGCGGCCCAAAGCCAGGTTCTGCTGCTGGTGCGGGCGCCACTTGGAGGCTCACCCTCGCGCCACGCAGGGGGAGCACGAGCCCCCCTGCAGGCCGCGGAGGGCCGACCCCCGAGCGCCACCGCACCAGCGAGGGCCCCGAGCGGTGGGCGGCGGCCGCGCGCCCGACGCGAGGCGCGACGCCGAGCCCGATCACGCGCCTGGGTGCCCAGCTCGACGTCCTCGACGTCGTCGACCTTGATCGCCATGACGGCCGCGCGGCGGCCCTTCCCGAGCAGCACGAGCACGTAGCCGTCCTCCACCTCGGGGTCGTAGAGCGTCCCGATGCGCCCGTCGCGGAGACGCACTCGGCCGCCTTCCTTCAGGATCCCGTGGCGCCACTGGGCCCTCGCATGGCCCGCCTCCTCGAGCCCATCCTTGACATCGGACGCGTCCGAGCGCAGAATGGGGTCGACGATGCCCTCGGCCTCCTGCCGCACGTCCTCGAAGCAGGCAGAGATGCTCACCGTCTTCTGGATCTTCTCCTCGCTCTCGATGGTGTACGCGAGGCCGTGCTTGACGATGTCCCCCATCTCCTCCTGCTTGCCCTTGAGGCCGCCGCCCTCCTCGGACGAGTTGTCGGCGATGGCCTGAAACTCATCCGCAGCTCCGTCAGCGTCAGCCGCTCCACGAACTGCAGAAAGAAAGCTGTCGGCGGCACCCTCACAGGGATCTCCACTGCCGTCAGCGGCTCCTGCACGAACGACAGCGGCTCCACGAACGACTGCGACCGCTCTACGCCCGTCGGCAGCATGCAGCATGGGCTCCCCGAGGCCGCACTCCATCCTCATCGGGCTGACGATGTCCTCGAGCTCCTGCTGAGCCACGGCCATCTGCGCGCCCTTGGAGCCGACGACGTCCACGAGCCCCTCGTCGCTGCCCTCGAGCGGCTGTGCGAGGCCGATCTTCATCAGGGCCTCTGTCAGCGCGGCCTCGTCATCGTCGATGCTCCTGCCACGCCTGGCCGCGGCGCGCGCGCGCTCTCGATGCCCACGAGCGCGGCCGCCGCCACTACCGAGGACGCCGAGACCAGCTGCGCCCTCCACCTTGCCGCTGCCGCCGCCGCCGCCGAGTGGCCTGGCCTTGGCAGGACGCTTGACACTCTGCCAGCCATCGTCCTGCCGCTGCGGGAGCGGGCCAGCTCCTCCCACTCCGCCTGTTGGCCACCCGTTCCGGGACGGTCCGCCGCCGCCGTTCGCCGCCAACTGCGGGCCCTCGGGAGCGCCCTCCGCGTCGGCATTGACGTCCGCCGCTGCAACGGGCGGGGCAGCCAGTAGCCCCACGTGGCCGCCCCGCAGCAGGCGCACCACGTGCCGCCGATGGGCAGCACCCCCTTCTCCATCGGCGGCATCACGCAGCCATCGCTGAGTCCTTGGCTCGCGAACACGGTGCCTCTTTCAAGTACGTGCTCGCAACTCTCAAAACCCTCGAGAGGAAAGGGGCTGCGGAGGATCAGGAGGAGGATCAGGAGTTGGAGGAGGAGGAGGAGGATCAGGAGGATCAGCAGGAGGATCAGGAGGAGGATCAGGAGGATGATCAGGCGGAGGATCAGGCAGGAGGCGGAGGATCAGGAGGAGGAGGAGGAGGAGGATCAGGATGAGGAGAAGGAGGAGAAGGAGGAGGAGGAGGAGGAGGAGGAGGAAGGGTCCTGGAAGGGTGGGGCGGGGGCCGGTAGCAGGATCAGCAGAGGTCCCCTGGGCGCCCCCAGGCGGCCGCTCCCGAGGGCCCCAAGGGGAAGAAGGGCTATGGAGGCGCTCCGCTGCCTCCTGCGGGGGAGGGGAAGAGAGGCGAAGAAAAAAAAGCGCCACAAACGTATTTTTGTTGGCGCTCCGCCCGAATTTCTTGGATCCGCGCTGCCCCCCCCCCCAGCGTCGCCCCTGGCGCGCTCCGCGCGCCAGGGAGGGAGGTCCAGCACAGATCTAAGAAATCCGCGTGGAGCGCCAAAAGTTTGTGTGTATGGCGGTTTCTCTTCTTCTGGAGAGGGGTGATCAGAGGGGTTCGGGACGATCGACATGGGTACGACAAGCATGGGTGCGATGCCCACCAGCAGTTCCTGCTCGTTTCGAAGAAGGCTCGCTGTCCGCGTCGCCGCGGACGTTGCTCACTGAAGACATAAAGCCGCCTGCCCAACAGCGGCCATCGTCGGTTTGGGACAGCATTTTGCTGCTGGGCATTGTACCCATTCTTTCCGTACCCGTTTCGGGCGTCCAAAGGTCAGGAGGGGAAAAACACACAGACACAATTGATTGTGATTCCCAGGCAAACATGGGCAACTATGGGAAGTGGGGGGAAGACGAAGACCCAGAAAATATAGGAACACGTGGGAAGTCCTCGGATGTGTGTCTATGTATTTGTGTGGCCCAGGGCCCCTTCAGAAGGAGTGGAGGGAATCGAGGAGTTTTCTGAAGGTCCTCGTCGGACCTCGGCGGTGCTCCAGCCTCGAGATGCCTTCTGACAGCTGTGCCTCGCCGTGAGCGCTCCAGGGGCTTCCGACGCGTCCCGAGCCCGTGGACACCCCAGCTGTTACACGAAAGCCAGACGACGAGGATCACTGGGGGCGACAGGCTCAAAGGGAGGGAAGGAGAGGGGAGGGATGGAGGTCGAAGAAGAAGAAACTGTATAAGCATAAACGTTCGGAGCTTCGCGCGAATTTCTTGGAACCGCGCTGGGCCCCCCCTGGCGGCGCCTCTGGCACCCCCCCTGGCGCGCTCCGCGCGCCAGGGAGGAGGGTCCAGCGCAGATCCAAGAAATCCGCGCGGAGTGTCGTCAAAAGTTTACGTCTGTCCGCTTCTTCTTCGTCTAGGAGGGGGGAGGGAGGGAGGGAAGAGAGAGACGAGAGGGAGGGCGAATGAAGCACGTCGGTATACAGGCCGGTCGTTGAAAGTAGGTATTTTTGGATTTCCAGATCCCAATCTACTTCAAGCGCCTTCCTACTTCAAGAGTCGACACGCTTTTGCTGTGTTTTGTTATCCTCTGGGGGGGGGGCCTGGACCCAATCCACTTTATCCGCCTTCCTACTTCATGTGTCTACCTGCTCCTTCCGACCGACGTTTAATCCTGGGCCGTCGGAGGTCCGCGCGGCCCTCTCGAGCCCTGCGCCGTCAGAGGCACCCGCGGAGCCGCCGGCCCGGAGATCACGGGGCGGCCGGCTGCTGGCTGCTCTCGGCCTCCGGAGGCCGCCGCCTGCTCCCGGAGCCGTCCAACGAGGCAGTGGCGAGGCGTCCCGGCGCGTCCAGAGGCCCACCAGAGAATGCCCTGAGAACCTCTCGTCGGGGGCGGCAAAGAGGGGGGTGATGACTAGGGGGGGGGGATATCATGGCGGGGGCCATGATGTTTCCCCAGGTGTCGTGGCGCTTCTTCTTATTTCATTACGTCCCTGGCCCCCCCGCTGGGCCGCGCACATGCCGCCGGTCATGCTTTGCACCCCCCCCCTCTTGGACACCCTCCTCTTGGCCGCTCCCGAAGAGAATGCCCTGAGAACCTCTCGTGGCTTGCACGAACAGTGGTCTTAGAACAGGTATGATCGATCTTGTCTTTAGAACATCCTAGGCCTCCTCGGTGGGGTCCGAGTAGATGGGGTCGGAGGATCGCGCCGTATCGTCGATACATCGGCGTTACGGCTCGATGTGTAGTCCGATTCTCTCCACGCTGGCGTCGCCGATGCATTACGATGCATCGGCGATGAGTCGCCGATGTATCGGCGATGCGGCGCGATCCTCCGACCCCATCTACTCCGACCCCGCTTAGGTCTCTAGTCATTGCTCTTGTTGTTCGAACAGTGTCCTGATCTGGGAGCACCTCGTGGTGGGCCTCTAGGAGTGCCCTGGGCGGGCGGTCCGCCGCGCAGTCCGCCAAACAACAAATCCAAACATCCATTGGGGTTCAAAGCTGGCCCGCGGGGCAAGGGGTCGGGAGGCCCTGGGGCATAGGCAGGGAGGAAGAGGGAGGGAGGGAGGGGGCGGGGTGGTCGCTGCGTAAAGGAAAAAGTCCCCAGCAGAACAACACGCACCACGACCACGATGACGCCGACGCCGCCGCCGACGACGACGACGACGACGACGGCGGAGACGAGGCGCGCAGACGATCTGCACCGAAGCACGGATTTGGGTAAGGGCCCACCCATCGTTGGACGGAGCTGCAGCATCCCCTGAGCACAGGCCTTTCCAGAGCATCAGCCAGACAAATCGGGTTTGCACCCTCATGCCTTGCTGGACTGGGCGCGTTTCAGCTCCCTCTCTCCCCACCTCGTCAGGGCCAACGACAAGGGAGAGCGCGGCGGTGGCCGACGCCTCAAAGCGCCGCAGCTCAGAGAGCCCGGAAGACAGACAGACAGCCAGGGCGCAGAGGAGGAGGGAGGAGGGAGGGGGGGGGGGGGAGGGAGGGGGGGGGGGAGGGAGGGAGGGGGGGAGAGAGAGGGGAGGGGGAGGAGGAGGAGGAGGAGGAGGAGGAGGAGGAGGAGGAGGAGGAGGAGGGGAGGAGGGAGGAAGGAGGAAGGCGGAAGGAGGAAGGCGGAAGGAGGAAGGATGAGGAGGAGGAGAAGCAGGAGCAGGAGCAGGAGCAGAAGTTCAAGGAGGACAAGGAGGACAAGGAGGAGGAGGAGGAGGAGGAGGAGAAGGAGGGGGAGGGTTAGGTGCGGCCTAACCGACCCCTGGCAAACTATCGGGTCAGGGGAGGCCTAACCGATCCCTGGCAATCGAAGAAGGAAAACCGGCACAAACATAAACTCTTGGCGCTCCGCGCGGGTTTCTTGGATCAGCGATGGGCACCCCACGGCGGCGCCTCTGGCGCCGCCTCTGGCACGCTCTGGCTCCGCGCGCCAGGGAGGGGGGTCCGGCGCAGATCCAAGAATTCCGCGCGGAACGTCAAAAGTTGATGTTTGTGTTTTTGTTCTTTATTTCTCTAGGCAAACCATCCTTTTTGCCCTAGGACATATGCATGCGGCCCGCAAGGGCGCTTGAGAGACGAGGGGGGCGTCACGGAAGGGGATGGTTTGCTAGGGGTCGGTTGGGCCGCGCCCGAGATGGAGGGGGGTATCCTTATTCCCCCTCCCTCTAGGGGTGCGAGGTCGGAGGACAAAAAACATCCACATGTCGGCGGCGAGCCTGGGGGGGAAGTGAGAAAGGGCGGGCCTTCCCAACAAAAGGCTCAGAAGTCCTCCGGCCTTCTGAGGAGTTCTCCGAGCCTTGCCCGAAGATGCAGAAAACTCCTCAGCAGGCGCGCGAGGTCTTCTGAGAAGTCCCGCCGCCTTTGAGAAGGCCTTCTCCTACGCACTTTGTCCCCTCGCTCGCCGCCGAACATGAGCATGTATTTCAGGAGGAAAAGAAACACACAGACACAATGAATCGTCGATGCCCCAGAATATATGGGAAAATATGGGAAGTGGCGGGGCAGACAGAAACTCCGAAAATATCCGAAAATATAGGGGGAATACTTTTATTTGTGTGTATCTATTTGTGTGTCCCAGGGCCCCTTCATCTGCGCCGGGCCCCACGGTCGGCGCCTCCGGCGCGCTCCGCGCCCAAGGGAGGGGTGTCCGGCGCCGATCGGGCACAGACCCGCGCCGACCTCCGAAAGTTCGTTGCGCGTCGGTCGTTGAGAGTAGGTATTTTGCGGCTCTCAGAGCCCAATCTACTTCAAGCGCCTTCCTACTTCAAGAGTCGAGTGGCTTTTGCCGTGTGATGTTATTATTTTGGAGGGCCTCGGCCCAATCTACTTGATCCGCCTTCCTACTTCATGTTTTTACCTACTTCGTCCGACCGACGTGGACGTTCATCGAAGGCGCCTACGGCTAATCACCGCCGACCCCTGCTTTTTGGGGAATACGCCAGCGAGGCCAAGCGTTTGAGCAAATCTTGAGCACGCTATTGAACCATGAGTTCCCCCAGCCGTTGTGGAAACCCTTGGGGGCACACGGGGGGATGGAAGAGGAGGACGAGGAGGAGAAGGAGGAAACAGGAGAAAAGAGAGAGAAAGAGAGAAAGAGAGAGAGAGGCAGGAGGAGGCCTCCTCCCCGCCGACCTCTGACAGCTCGTTATGTTTATCGAATGGCTTTCGGTCCATGCTGCCACTGTGACTGGACTGTGGGCCCCCTCCTCTTTTCCGCCCCTGCCGCCGCTTCGCTTGCACTGTGCCCCAAGTTGATCGTTGTTCTCAACGGCCCTGTCGCCCCGTGCCCCAGGAGTTCTACGCACGCCGGAGCATGCCGCGTTTCGTTGTTCGGTTCGGTTTCTCGTCCTGTTTGTCATTGGTCTTTCTTTTGCTGCTCCTCTTGCTGCTGCCGCGCGTGTCTGCTGTTCTCTGCGCCCGTGCCGCCTTCTCGTTGGCTCCGCTCTTCTCTCCCTGCTGTCTGCCACTTTCGTCGCCCCATCGGTTCCACGTGTCATCGACTGCGCGCGTCCTGAAGCAAGCTCAGGGGCCGCACGCCTGCTTGTCGCTTGGTACAGAGCGAAAAAAACTGCCGGGGCACCTGCCGGGGCACCTGCCGCGCGGGCCGCTGAGGCGCGCGCGCCGGTTCGCGCACTCGACCTCGCCCGCGCGGGCGGCCCGCCCCTCCACCCGCAGGGAAGGGCTTCGGCGAGGCTGGCTGGGGCTTCGCCGACCAGGACCGGCCAGGGGTCAGGCTTCGCTTCGCGGCCTCCCTCGACGGAGGCTCGTGGTTCGTGTCCTGAGCTTGTCCCACTCGTGGGGTCGGGACGATCGAAAAGGGTGCGGAAAGAATGGATACAAAGGCCGACAGCAGTTCCTGTACAGTTTGAACAGGACTCGCTTTCGGTGTCGCCGCACACGTCGTCCATCTGAGACAGGTGGCCGCCTGCCCAAAAGCGGCCGCTGTCAATTTTGGACAACGTTTGTCGTTGGTCATCGTGCCCATCTTTTTCGTATTAATTTTGGGCGTCCAGATGGGGGTTCTTAGAGGGGACTCCGGGGGAAGCTCCTCGTCGCCACGGCCGAGTTCCCCTCGAAGACTTGGTCAGAGCGCGCCCTGGGCGAGATCCCAGGGGTCGGCTTTCGAGGGGGGGCTCTCTGCTTCCTCCTCTGATAGGACGCAGAGAGGTCCCTCCTCGAACGTCGACTCCTGAGATCCTCCCCGCAGCGCGTGCGCATTCTCGCGCTCGGGCAAGGGCTTCCCCGGCAAGGACGTTGCCAGGCGTTGGGCAGTGCCTCTGGAGGAAGAAGGTCGAGGACCGAAGATTTAGGTCTTGGGATGGCTTTTGCCGTCTATGTTCAAGTCGGGCCTGTCCCTCTACAGGGGGAATATTCAACAATAGTCAAACATCGTCTGGGGACTACTTTTTGAGTATTTTTTGGCCATGTTGGAGTATTTTTGGGTATTTCTTATTTTTCGCCCAAAATCCCCCTGTAGGGGGACACGCCCGACTTAAGTCTATGTGGGCCTCCTGAGGCCCTCAGGTCCCCGAGCGCCTCGTGCACAGCAGAGAGACGACGGACGGTGTATCACGGCCAGGGCTACAGGTGGTTATGTTTGGATGGCCTCCGCAGTTGGGCGAGGATCGCTGATGCGGAATAGAGCTCGTCCCAAACAGTGCTTGCGCCAACGGCATTGTCACTTGCACTGGTAAGTGATTGGACGGGTCCGCCGAGATTTCGCCTGATGGCCGCCCCTGGGCGCTTCGTGGGCGCCCCGCTGGCTTGCTGGGCCCACTGGGGTGTCGCCTGGTGGCCGCCCTTCGGCGCCTCAAGGGCGCCCCCGTGCTGGCTGGGTGCGCCAAGGTGTCGCCCGGTTGACGCCCGTCGGCTCCTCGTGGTCTCTCCGTGCGCTGGCCGCGCTCGCCGGGGGGCTGCGTCTGGTGGGCGCCCTGTGGGCGCCAAGTGGGCGCCTCGTACGCTGGCTGCGTCCGTCGGGGTTTCGCCTGTGTGTCGCCCTTCGAGAAGCGCTGGAAGGTTCCCATCGGCAGGCGCCATCGCGGCCGCGTCGGCTGTGCCGAACCAGCTAGCCGCTCCGCGCGCGAGCTGGCGCGCGCCAGCGCAGCCGCAGAAATGCGCCAGCCAGTGCCAGGTATTCACTGCAATCGCGGCCATATGGGCTGTGCAAAACAAGTTGTGGGTGTGACGGTGGGATGATGTGGGACGATTGCGCGACCAGTGGAGTTGACGACCTCACGTTTTGCAAGAGGTGAATTGCACCACACAGTTTGCACCACATAGCTTGCACCGCATAGATTCGATGCAAAGCTTGCCACTCATGGGCTTGGCATCGCTCCGACGCGTGCATCTTCTCGGCGAGGACCATCCAGGAATCTCCTGGATCAGCTTGCGAGACAATACACGCACGACATCGCACAAACACAGGGGGAATGAAAGCCCCAGCGATGTCGAGCAGGTTGCACAACGTCCATCGCACCATGGAGACTGCACCACAGATCTCGCTCATCCAGCTCGAGGGTGCGCGCAGGGCAGCCCCGGAGTCGCGGCGGAGGAGCAGGAGGAGGAGGAGGAGGAGGAGGACAAGGAAGGGGGAAGAGGAGGAGAAAGAGAAGGAGGAGGAGGACGAGGAGGCGGAGGAGGAAAAGGCGGAGGAGGTGGAGGAATGGGAGGAGGAGGAGGAGGGAGGAGGAGGAGGAAAAGGCGGAGGAGGTGGAGGAAGGAGGAGGAGGAGGAGGAGGAGGAGGAGGAGAAGGAGGAGGAAGGGGAGGAATGGGAGGAGGGGGGGAGGAGGAGAGGAGGAGGAGGAGGAGGAGGGGGCAGGAGAGGAGGGAGGAAGGGGGAGGGGGAGAAGGAGGAGGAGGAGCAGGATGAGGAGAGAAGGAGGAGGAAGAGGAGCAGGGAGGAGGAGGAGAGGAGAAGGAGGGCAGGAGGAGGAGGAAGGAGGAGGGGGGAGGAGGCGGCAGGATGAGGAGGAGGAGGAGGAGGAGGAGGAGAAAAGGGCAGGAGGAGGAGGAGGACGGGAGGAAGGGGAAGAGGAGGAGGAGCAGGAGGAGGAGGAGGAGAAGCAGGAGGAAGGGGAGGAGTGGGAGGAGGAGGAGGAGGAGGAGAGCAGCAGCAGCAGGAGGAGCAGGAGGAGGAGGAGGAGCAGGTGGAGGAGGAGGAGAAGGAGGAGCAGGGAGGAGGACAAGGAGGAGCAGGATGAAGAGGAGGAGCAGG